TCTTCCAGCCTGACCAGCTAAAGAAGTGGTCAAAGCCCCACTAAAACCAATCTGCTAAACCAGCTGTAACCAGAATGAAAACACCAACCAAAGCTGTTTTTTTCAAGTCACAGAGTGGAGGTATCACAACAGCCGGCATCAAATGTTCCTTTGAAAATAGTGCATGGTTCCTATTTGGTTATTTCATTGGGACATTCTAGAAACATTCTTGTACATATTCATTTAGCTGATGCTTTTATCCAAAACGACTTACAATTGCTATATATGTCCGAGGTTGCACGCCTCTAGAGCAATAGTATCTTGCTCAAGGACACATTGGTGTTCGTAGTGGATTCGAACCCGAGTCTCTCACACCAAAGGTATGTGTCTTATTTACTGTGCCGTCACCACCCTGGCTTTTTTGGGCTTTAAATTGTTATTGTTCCCTGCTGAATCAAACAGCTAAAGCCTGAGCTGGTCTTACAGCCTGGTTTAGCTAGCTACTTTTATAGGGGTTTTGACCACTACTTTAGCTGGTTAGGCTAGCAGACTAGCTGACTATAGCTCAGTTGCTGAATAACAAAGACCAGCCAAAAGGGCAGTCTCTTATAGACCGTATGCACCAGAGAAACAAGTGCACAGCCATCTTTAGAATTTTGTCTTTAGCTGTGTCTGAAATCGCTCCCTATCCACTAAATAGTGCACTATATCGGGTGTCGGCTATTTTGTAGTGGTGTCCGAATTCTGAGTGAACGACATCATTCCCTACATTCATTCACTACTTTTACCCACAATCCTCTCTGAATTCGAGAGTACATTCGATGTACACTCGCTGAAGCCCTATTTCCCACAATCCAATGCGGAGAGAACTGAGCGCGCATGAAAGTTCGGCGCGAGCAAGTTTAAACTAGAGATTACATTACATCCAGTGGAGGATTTGAAAAATGTCCGTTAATCGTCGTTTTGAACATAATAACGGTCGCCGGAGGGCGCTCGACGACACGTCATCTGTGAACGTGAGAGTTAATGTACAATTTCAGTCGATGAAACTACAAAGCTGGCACGGAGGTATAATTACAAAATAAAGTCATTATGATTGTTATTGTTGTTAATATTATTTTATAAAGTAGGTAATGTAAGATAAAAGGAGTTTTATCAGTATGCGTGACGAAGCCTTTTCTGTGACAGCTCCAACTCTCCGACGCACAGTGTAAACGTCAGCGTCCGAATTCACTCACTTCATCTCCTTCACTCCTTGCAGATATAGTGCACTCAAATGCCATACACTATATAGGGATTAGTGAATGAGTGAACGAGTGAGCGGTTTCAGACACAGCTTTTGAACGTTTTGCGGTAGCTCTTTATATTTCTATGGCAGCGCTGTCGAAGTGTAATTTGCTGGTGAAGTGAATTTACTTAGGTAACGGAAGTTATCATGAGCATTGTAATGTTTGAAGTGGATATCAAATGTCAGCAAACCGGGATTTTTTTTAAAATGACCCTTTCATTCATAAATCCGTAAGATCTTGCCTTTATGCTGTGGAAACATAAACTGGAAAATAGAACACAGTGCGGCGCTGAAAGGGGGCAGGGCTAAATGAGGTTAATATAGTGCTGTAAAATCAGTTTCACACCCAGACAGCAAACTGACATTGAATCAACGTGGAAACGACGTCTCTCATGACATTGAAACAACGTTGATTTTGCTCATCGAATTAACGTTGAACCAACGTCAGACGCGGCATTCTTCAAAGCTAAATGAAAATCGAAAATTGGTTTGCTTTCATAACGTTGAAACAACGCGTTGATTTCAAGTTGATTTTCCGTTAGTTTTGAAAGAATGACGCGTCTGACGTCGGTTCAACGTTAATTCGATGAGCAAAACAATGTCCGATCAACGTTGTTTCGATGTCATGTTTCCACGTTGATTCAATGTCAGTTTGCTATCTGGGCAGTTAATCGATTCATTTGGATGATTTGTGTAAATGTACCGATTAACTTGACATATTCTGTTTTATATGTTTATTGAATAAATACTGTCACTGTTTTTCATTCAGTCATCAAAATTACGGTGTATTCTAGCTTTTTTTTTTTTAGCTGTGTTATAGTGTAAAATGGATCTATCCAATGTTGCCAGTTGCCCTGAGTAAACTATATAATTTGATATTGATATATTTAAAAAAAGATATTGTCCCCATAAGTACTGTAGCTTCAAAGTTGTTAGCTACTTTTTGTTTGTAGCTTCTAGCTAACAAGCTAATGATTAGCTTGTGAAGCATGAGCTTCCCTAAAACTGGCACTTAACAGTCCACAGAATTGAAGTTTGTCTTTTTCTAGTATATAAACACATTCTAAAAGCAAAATAATAGCCTGATACAATACCTTCCAGAGTAACACACAGAGATTCTCTCATGCTACTGTAAGATTATTGGCCTATATGAGCCAATGCATTGGCAGCACTCCTAAAATCAAAGCTAAGCAAAAAAAGACAGTTGAAGAGATAAAGCTCACCTCCACCGTTAAGGATATGAGTCATGTTCAGACAAGATCAGGCCAACAACCTATCACAAAGACAGAGAGAGAGAGAGAGTAGCAAACTGACAAACCCCAAACAATAGGGAAGGCTGAGTAGAGGTTTAGAGATATTCTGTTGCAATCATGTCTTAACCAACACAGCCCCTTCAACGCAAACTTATCTCTGTCATCTCTGTGCAACTGCACGCATCTCAGAGGGGCTTCGACATTGCGGCCGCGTGAATCGGGCCAGGGCTTTGATGCATGTGGACTTTGAGAGGTAGAGGGGATGCCAGCATTTCTGCAAAGAAAGCCACAGACAAGGAGGTACCCACCGCCTCCTGGCATTTGGAGCATCACCCAAGAAACACACAAGCCAAAGCAAAGGTCACAGACTGTGACAAGAAGAGGCGCTTTTTTTTTTTTTTTTTTTTTTTTTGCAGTGCTGGTGGTGGAGACACGGCCGGTTCAGTGCTGTTAGAGGTTCCTCGAGCGCTCCTCACAGAACACATTCAGTGTAAAATAAACAGGATCGCATGTCTGTGTCCAGATCAAACATTTAAACGTCAGTCAAACGTGTATTTAAAACAGTTTGTATTCAAAGGCAGGAAAGCAATTAAAATGAAGCAATACGGTTGAAAAGTTTTAAAGAACATGGTTAGACATTACAAACAGACTTGAGGGCCTTGTTGCTTTGCTAATAGGGGACACATTCTTTAGAACTATTTTTATTAAGTCAATTTGGCATGCTTCTGCTATTCCGCATTGACCAATCAGCATCTAGGACCAGAAATATCCGATTTATAATAAATATTGATTTAAAAATTATTCAGTAAAAATGGCAACGGTAATTGCCCATAGGCCTACATAAAAACACAATCTAAAACACATTGAAAATTTTGATCACAAATCTGACTGATCTGAGATAAATATATGTTGGCATCAGGAAGGCTAAGCTTTTGTTTTTTTAAGGTCAGCTTCGATCTGTTTTGCCCAGGTTATCTTGGGTACCATTAGTTGGCCCTTCCATGGCATTTGGCAGGCCGCTGCCACCAGAGTAGTCTGTAAGATAGGCGTTGTTCGTTCACCATAGTTGGCCGAACCACTGTAACAAGCGCTTCTGGATTACTTCAACCTTTTGGTTGATTTTTGCACCTCCGTCTGATGACGTTATTTCGAAGCCGGTCGCACCTAGTATTTCGCACATGTGGCACCTATTCGCTGCAGGTACCGCAAACACTTTGGCCTGGTTTCAGAAAGGGCTTAGATTGAGCCAGGATCAGGCCTTAGTTGAGTTAGGATATTTAGTAGCTTTTTATAAATGTGCTTTAAAAAAAAAACATTACTGGTGTGCATCTTGAGACAAAACGATGGCACCGACATATTTTAAGATATGACAATGCAAGTTGCTTTCAGTTAAAACAGCTAAAACATGAATTTTATACTAAACTTAAACCTTGTCTGTGAAAATGGGAGGTTTTTTTTTTTGTTTTTGTTTTCCAAGTCTGCTTTTTTGGGACCAATGCCGGTCCCAAGCCTGGATGAGAAAGGAGGAGGGTTCTGGTCCCCTGCCGAGTCACTGTAAAAACCAGGTGAGTATACAGTGGTGGATCGCAGACAAAATGTAAAATGAATAACTTAGACTTCTACTACCTAGACTATTTACTATTATGTTATTTAATCGAACATATGATTCTATACAAAAATACACACACATACATACTGTATATATTCTCTTATGCTCACCAAGTCTGCATTTATTTGATCACAGTAAAACATTGGTACTATGAAATATTATTACAATTTAAATATATATATATATATATATATATATATATATATATAAGAAATATCTCGAAATAGAAATAGCTGCTTAAGAAATATCTCGATGTTGAAAAAAGTTGTGCTGCTTAATATTTTTGTGTACCGTGATACACTTTCAAAATATTTAAGTTCAAAATAACATTTTATCTGAAATATAAATATTTTATAACATGCATTGTAAATATATAATAACTTTTGATCCATTTAAGGCGTGCGTCCTTGCATACAATCTTACTGACCCCAAAGTTTTGAATGGCAGTGTATATTAGATGCAAATTATTAATGTGAAATAAAGAAATGGCAAATGACACTGACAAAACTACAACACTAAAATAAACACTTGATTTTCTTATTCTTGTGCCCTCTTCGTCACCAAGTAATAGTATAGTAGCATCTATATCTGGCTTGTTCCAGTAACACTGTATGTGTTTGTTGATCTGACTTCAACACACACTCTCTCAGGCTGCTGAGCATATTTGCAAACCGGAAAAGGACAGCGGAAACAAAAGAGATGGCCTTTGACTAAAACCACAAGTCCCTGAAAAAAAAAAGGGCTGCCTCGTTCTATGAGACCACATATCTATTCTCAGTATGCAAGATCGAAAGATTCACACAAGCAACAATATTTATAAGCACCACACAACAGTGTGAAAATGAGGAGGAAAGGAGGGGAACAGACAGCATCAGGTTCATATGATGACAGTATTTAATGCAGAAAAGCCCATGCTTTAAAAACCAACATAGAACGACACACTTTCCTTAAAGATGCCAAGGTTACAAAAGTCAACCTTAGAAACAGTAAACCTTGGTCTTAAGATTTCTATCTAAAAAAAAAATATTTATATATATATATTTGGATATTTTACTTTGTCAAATAGTGCTAAACAATTCAATATTAATTCAATTCTCTCCTACAGTTCCATACAAATGCCTTAAGAAGATTTTTGACAACACTGTACCTGAGAAAACCCAAAAAAGTGAACCGACACACAGCAAAAGATAACCCCTTTCAACATTTTTACCAAAATATACTGTATATAATTCATACATACATTTATTCACTTGTATAAAAATACACTGCAAACCCTTGTCTTACTGTTTGTAAGGTCCACAGTGAATAAGAACAGTTAAAAAAACACCTTTCTCTCACAAAAAATATATATATTTATACAGATGAGAAAATAGCAGTCCCATACACTTTAAGGTAAAAAGTGAAACCTGACTCTAGAGTGCCTTTCTTGTAAGTTCAAGTACTCTCCACTCCCATACGTGTGGACTCATCGAAAGAACACGTTCTGTTCATGTGCTCTTGTTCATTCAGTTGTAAACATAGTCTTACATCAATGTTTCCTTCACCTTGTTTCTTTTTTTTTAACTAAACAAACACAATGTATAATATACAATAAGCTTTGATAATAATTCTATAAAATGCCCTGGAATTGTGGAGCACATTCAATTTCATGCCTGCTTGTGACACCAATCCAAAAAAAGCAAACAAACAAAAAAATTCATAAAGATATTCATGCTTCACAAGAACAAATAAAATTCTTCAAAATGTTTCATGATTTAAGAGGTGATATGTGTGCGCGTTGTCATTTTTTGGAGGTGTAAAAAAAGGCAAAGCTATTATTTAAAGAACAATAAAACGCATTTATGTATTTTTCCTCATAACGTTTAAAGGGCATATTCACAGTTTTTTTGGACTTTTCCTCAAAGCAGAGAAGACAAAAGCAAAGCTTTAAAACAATAGGTACAACAGAGTCTGATAGTGATGTTAAGCTCTTGTAGCACTGACATAAAAGCCCAACAAATATACAAGGGAGCTTCTGAACAGTAGTACACGTTGAGACAAATGCGTTGATTGAAGCTTGATTTACGGTTGTGCTACAGAACGCTTCATGTAAATATTCAACAACATTGAAGAAAGAAAAAAAGAGTAAGTAAAAAGGGAAGACACACACGACTGTGAACATTATAAAACAAATAGTTTAAATTTTCACGACGCATTTTAATGCCCTGAAAATAATGAGAACAGGTCTCTGCATCAAGCATGGGAAAATTCTAAAGAGTTGGAGGGGGCGAAACATTGTTTGATTAATAAACCGCGTTTTATCTTGTAAAGCTCTCGTGCAGTCCGGGTTAGTGATGAAATCTCGACAGCAATCTTCTAGCATCTATAGAAGTTGTTATTAGGTTTATAAGATCTACATTGTTCCAGTATCAGACAGACTCCTTTTAGTCATTTGTAACTGCGCATACGTTATCTATTTGTCTCTCTAAGATAAAATATATTAGCTAACTAGAGGCAAACGAAAAATGCATGTAGGTGAATATTTAAGCTCCTGGCTCAATAACAAATACATTGGTCCATGTGCGGGCTAAAAAGACAACATTTGTCATTTAAAAACTGAAAATCTAGACTCTTTACGAATCTAAAGACTTTGTGCTGTAACACTGAAGACAGTCAGAGGAGATTTATTTAACAAGGCATTAATAATGAGGCATTCGGTCTGAAAGGCAGAGTGAAATTCACAGATTTCAATCAAAAATATGGCAACCCTGTTGGTAAAGCATGTTAATATATCTGCAGACTTGTTCAAACTACTGCACTGGGACTAGCTGAACTAAACAATGATCTTTGTTCCCTTTATCAATAGCATGGAAATAGCATATTTTTGCCCAAGGCCTCAAGCTAATAGTGCAAAAAACAGGTTTATCAAGGCATGTCGCAGTGCTGTTTTCAGCGAAGTGCATAAGAACGCAAGAGATGATAGTAAGTGTGCAACAGAAGCAAAACAGCACGGAAAACTCACCTGTCCTTAACATGGCAAAAAAAATACTTCGGTCTCCCGTACAAATCTACGAGATTTGTCATCAACATTTCATTGTAATCTGTCGGAAAGACCGTGCCAACTACAGGACTGCTTTTGTGAAACTAGCATAGCACCGGCATGAGGAACAGGAAATTAGCACGAAAACCAAAGCTTCGGCCCACACGAACCGAGAACTTCATCGGAATGGAGCGGGTGATGAGAAAAGATGCTAAAAAGATACAAACCACTCTGTAAAAGGCAAAATCGTGCCGTTCAAAACATCAGCAAGGCACTAAGAAGCCACAGCAGCATGAAGCTATGAATTAGTCTTTTTTTTTTTTCTTCTTTTTTTTTTTTTTACACAAAACTAAACGGTTTAGTTCTCCAGTGGTCCTCTGGTTTCTCTGTGTACCTGGTCCATGAAACAGAAATGATAGCATGCATCGAGGTAATAAAGATGACAAAAAAAAAGGGAAAGAACTTCACAACTTTAGATAACACATAGCTGCTCTGCTGGAAGGTTCAGTACATACACAACAATAAAATGTGTTTTGAAAAAAAAAAAAAAAAAAAAAGTCAAGCGAAACATTCACAAAATAAACTACTCATCCCCTCACCCAGAACAAAAATCTTCAAACAGCTCCAAAATGAAAAAAACAATTCTATTGGACCCAAACCTTCATATATCTGCCGATTGGTGCTCACGTAATGCTTCGGCCGTAAACTTGTGCCGTCTGCAGTAAATCGACTGCAAGAGTGCTAACGAAAGGTGTGTTCTCCACGAACGATGTGCGAGGAGAACTCGTAGCGATCTTTGCTGCGGTGGCCGCAGATGTTGCACTCCAGCGGGTCTCTGTAACCATGGCAACCCATGTGGATGGTGTACATGACGTGGTCCAGGAACAGAACGCGGCAGTGCTCGCACTGGAACACCCTCAGCTCCTGGCCCTCGCGGCTGAAGACGCGGATGCCATCCCTCGGGGTGGACCGGCTGGCGTCGATCGCCCTCCCTTCCTCTGGCCGGCCGAACCCCGGGCTGGATCGCGACCTGTGCCCGGCAGCGCTGAGCTTGTCCCGGGGGCTGCTCCGTGCCGAATCGGCCGAATCCGGTCCACTGTGGCACGGCGACCCGTCTCGGGCCAATTGAGGATTCTTGGGCCTGACCAAGGAAATTGCGCCATTGGTTGGGTGCGGGAACTCTGGGTTAGGGTGGGGCATTGGTGGAGCCTCTCGACTGCTGGGCCTGTCCATGCGTGGGCCGAGCGGGTACACCGGATGGAATAGCGGGTTCACCATTGGTACCACCTCGGCCATGGAGAGGGATGGGTGATGGACCACAGGCCTTAAGGAGTCAGAGCCCAGGTAGTTGATGGCATTGCTAATGGCATGGTCCATCATTTGGGCCTGCATCAACTCCGCTTCCTTTTCATACTTCAGGCCCATCTCATAGTTCAGTTCAGGGTACGAATAGCGAACCATTTTCTCACCTTAATAGACAATGCAATAAAACATGCATTAACAATAGCCTCAAAGTACTTTCCATTATGATCCAAACATATACTAGCCTTGCAATTTGCAGTAAAAGATGCATTTAAAGAATCTGCTACTATGTTTCATTGCATTAATGATGGAAAGTCCCATTTGGAGACTGAAGTGAGAAAATTTAACCCCTGTAGAATATGGATGCGGTAAACTGCACTGGCGTAGTCAGTAAAAGCAATGGCAAAGCTACAGGTGTGCAAAAACCACAAAATGAAAGAAAAAAAAAACAACTCCCACTCAAACCTTTTCTGTATCGCTCTCTCTCTTTCACTTTAATACTTAAGTTTGATTTCCGCATATATTGTCAATAGGCAAGTAATGAGTTTCCTTGCAAATTATATTTTTCTATCTCCCTTCAGAGATCTTATTTATGTCTTTATATCTTTAAAGTGAGTTCTGCTCTCTGTTCCGTCATGTGGAAACTCAGCATTCACTAAGCAGTTGCATGTGGTATTTCAGCTCAAAAACGTGTGTATTGCTCTCTAATCACCCGCAATCCAGTTTAACCAGGCGCTAAATGCTCTGAAATAGCACTATGCTGTAGTTAAATAAGTAAATGAAGAGTTCAGATGCAAAAGCCTCTAAGTGCCATTTAAAATTTCCTTCTAGAATGATCATTTTTATCAAGCCTGTATATTTAAGTTCAGTAATTTCACTTAAATTGCAATGAAGATTACCTATTAATTGTCATTTAAGTGAAATTACTGAACTTAAATATACAAGCTTCATAAGAATGATCATTCTAGGAGAAAATTTCAAATGGCACTTAGAGGCTTTTGCATCTGAACTCTTCAAATATTAAATAAGTCTTTATTTGTGAGCACTTTTTAAAATGAGACATTATGGCTTGTGCCTTATCCATCCAGCTATATTTGCTGTTGCTTCTACAGAAAGTAGGAGGTACTCATTTCTATGATTAAAAAGATGTTTTCGTGTTCATTTGTAATGATTATGGTAGAAGTAATTAATGAAATGGTGTTTAAATAACGGAAAAGTTATTATTAGGAATGTATCTAGACCTGTGTCCTAGACAAGGTCACTTTCAGTAAGACTGAACTCAGGTGACAAAAAAACATATTTTTGCCAGTGTATGCACCAGTACCTGACTTAAAACAGAGCAGACAGAATTTGCATTTTGCAACAAGGATTGTGTGAGGTTGAAAATGTTTATTCCGCCATGTAACCTGCCTTACATTCATTAGCACCGCTAGAACTTTGAAGATCAGTGTGTTGCATACTGTAGATTCAACCACATTTACTGCTGAGGTGACACTTACCCACAAACTTCTGTGGCGTGGTGCTCTTCCGTTTACCCACGTTCCCCAGTCTTTCAATTACAGGAGGCCGGTCAAAAGCCGCCATGCCAGCGGACTCCAGCGACCTCTGCTCCTTTGGAATGTCCCCTGGGAAATGATGAAATGATTCAGCATATCAACCAAGCTGGTCCATTATACATGAAGAAAACTATTCATTAGCATTTCTATTCATCTCAAAGTTTTGCAGCCAGGTTTTTTTGAGCCAATCACTCGAGTCATCATTTATAAAGACGTGATCATAAATGTGAATGAGCTACAGTTTCCGAAACAATTTATAAAACTTTTTCTAAATGCATCTCTATTTATAAATTGCGGTTTATCTACAGAATGCACACAAATAACTGGTCATGGTTTAGAAGAAGTATGCCTCTCATTATCAATGGCAAGGAAATCCAAGTAAACATATCCGCAATATAGGCGGGTTTCTGTACGTCTGTGTGTAGGCATATATCATCATTTTCAGGAAAGCATTAATATAAATTAATTTCAGTGATTTAATTAGTAAAAGGCAGTTTATATGTTGCTCATTTGTGCATTAAAGGAGAACTCCGGCACAAAATGAACATTTGGTCTAATAAAACTTTGGTACCTAGTCGACCATTCTCTGAGATTTGTTTTCATGATAATCAAATGTAAAGAATTTAATCTCTAAAAACTGTTTCGTGTATAACGCTAGTAGATGGGGGCATTTAATAAGTAAAAAGAAATCGCTAGTTAATACCACTAACAAGGCTCAAAATAGCCCCACACTAACACAGTAACATAATGAGGGTCCCTACATGCAAAACACAGCATTGAGAATTTTGTAAGTGTACAGACCGTTTAATAAGAAGATAAGAAGAGTCCACTTTGTGTATACACAGCAGGAGCCATCTTTGGAAAACAGTCTTGATAAGTCGAACCACGAACGACGTGCCAAGTGAGCTGAACTGTATTAAGTTCAACAAACTTCTGAACTGTGTGAACAGCATTCGTGGTTCAACTTGTTGACTGTTTTCCAAAGATGGCGCTGCCTGTATAAACGAAGTGGACTGTCTTTATAAAGTATCTTCTTATTGAACTGTCTGTACACTTACAAAGTTCTCAATGCTTCGTTTTGCATGTGTGGACCCTCATTATGTTACTGTGTTAGTGTGGGGCTATTTTGAGCCTTGTTTGTGGTATAAACTATCGATTTCTTTTTACTTATTATATGCCCCCATATACTAGCATTATACGCTAAACAGTTTTTAGAGATAAAACTCTTTACATTCGATTATCATGAAAACAAATCTCAGTGAATGGTCGACATGGTACCAATGTTTTATCAGACCAAAGGTTCATTTTGTTCATTTTGAGTTCTCCTTTGAATTATATCTATGCTTACTGTGCTTATTTCCATTAACATGTTGAATTACTTCAATTACTGGTATATTTAACATTGAAAAAGCTAAGTAGTATTGAAAACATTGAAAAAGCTGATTTGTTCCTCACTTTTGATGGTGGATAAAATCCATGGTATTTAGAATCAAATCTGATCACACGTAAATTAGGTCCTTGAACCCGAAGTGCCATGTAACTAACTTCCCTTGCCAAACACAGCAATAATGTCAAGACAACACTGGTTTTAGCTAGAATGATAATGTTCCAAAGACTTGTAGTTTGGACATCTACCAGCAGGGGTTAACCATGCTAACCAGCAAAACTTTGTACCCTTGGTGTCAATGAAATGTACCCCACAAATGATAGTGTACTGTAGCAAATCTACACTATGTTAGTAGTTGCTATTGTTTTGTTTCCATAAAACATTCCAGCTCATGAAACACCGTTGTGTCATCCAACACCAAAAGGATTTCACAATAAGTCACAATAACACTTGCTCAATTATGTGGAAAACTGTCATTTTACAGTCTCAATGAAGTCATGAGCCACTCACCTGGATATGGGCCAGGATTGGAGGCGGAGTCCATTCCGACGCTCTGCAAGTAATTATGACACCGTTCTTTGTGCTCCTCCAATGAGGTGCGCTGCTTGTAGCTCCGCCCACAGTAGTTGCACTTGTGTGGTTTGCCCACTAAAAGACATCAAAGAGTAGCAAAATAAGTATTAAGTCGTAAAATAACTCATTCAGACCGCTCACACAACTGAGTTTCAGTCTCCAACTGAGTAAGCGAGAAAGTGGGCAAAATCAGATTTCGTGATGATGCAACCACTACAACGCGGTGAGGGGGTTTGCTCCAGAAGAGGATAGAATTACGTACTATAGTACTATTTTATCGTCATCGATCTCTAATTGGCACCATGAGTGATGACTTGGAAATTCTCTTTGAACAATAAACAGAAACCGAGTGAGTGTTTCTCCTCAGCCGGATAAGGTGTGAAGTGATTCACAGTCAGTTCCACTAAGATTAGGTCAGTGCAAGGGTGATAATGCGGGACAAAACCTCCCAAGAAAGATACAGTAATAGAAACAAGCTTCTTGTCCTTCCGTCGTGGGCAGAGAAGAGTAGTAGGAGGACGATGCTTAGCCTCCAGAAACAGATGTGAGTTTTCCAGTAGCGAAGGGAACAATTCGTTTATTGATTCATTCCGAGTTTCATTCATCAATTGGTTGAGTCATTCATTTATCTGTCATGTTTTTTTCTCATTCACTCATCGGTACCAATTCGGAACATAGCCCACCACTACGTTTGCGCTGTTCTGTTATGTCAGCTAAAAACAGAATTCAATTTGAGACAGGGGCTGCTGTCAGCACTGTGGTCAATCCTTGGTGTAAGGGACTTTCAGAATTATTCATAAAGTGAAACAAAACAGCCTAGCGAATTGAGTCATACAGTATGAACTCAGTTAACCAGTCTCTTACTGCACGTGAGAAAATAATGATAATTCACACCTGTTACTAGCAAGCCTGTGGGATTACCTGTAAGTGTGCCAAATGTAAAAAAAATACACCCCACACTTTTCGGTAACCCTCTTCAAAGCGCCATAGTGCTTTCCGTCTGAAGCACTGAACAGTGAAAATGAGACAGCTACTGACTGAGACACTGAGAGAGGTGACCTTTCCCATGTAGAACGCATGTCAAACAACGAAGGCCCTGTCACTTCTGTGGGAAAGGATGGATTACAGCAAAAAAAAAAAAAAAAGCTTTGGTTTGCTTGAAATACAATGTCGCATAAAATAATTAAATCACTGAAGAGTGTTGAAATGTAGCTTAGGTCTAATTTAAATAGAAAACGATTTATTTACAGTATGTACAGAGTTACATTAAATAGACTTTCATGAACTTGGTCTTACTCTGTAAAGGTCAGGTAATCAAGGGATCTAGTGCAGACTCTGTTTTGCGGTCTTTATATGTCAGTGGGTGACTGTATTGGAAACAGTTTCAACTGATGAGAGAGCTCTGAAAGTGACATTTTTTGTCACACTTTCAATATCTCTAATAAATGGGTGTGTGCATGACAGCACACTAGAAATGGTTTGGCGCAGACATTTTAGAGGATACAGCGCATCCACACAGACAAATATAGCCTATAAATGGAAAAACAGAACTGAACTGTTTGGTTCAATGAACTGTCAAAACACCTGCAAGCTGCAATGTCTGGAACAGGCAATCATGCTAATTATGCGATGGAGACAAAAATGCGAACTGTTACGGGGCAAAAGAAATGCAATGGTTTTATCGATTAATACCAGCCATTCAAAACCCCTCGAGTTCCTGTAGCAGAGTTTGGACGATTTAGAAAAAAAAAAATCCCTGTCTAAGCACTTATTCAAATGCAAATTCATGCACATAGTGATGCATTAAAGCCCTCTAAACCGCATCCATTCGGGTTGAAAACAGGAAACAGTGAGATGAGGATGACATTTCATTTCAAGTAAATGCCTATCAATTGTAGAGCATCAGCAAAAGTGCTCAACTTACTCAACTGGTAGTTAAACACGCACCAAAGCATCCTTTCCCTGAATCAAGTGTTAGCCCCTCACCTCACGTTTCTTATTTTACTAAGCTGCCAAAGACAACCAAAGCAACCCAAAGAAAAGTCACCAACATTATGAATCACGCCTAAAACTGTGGTACAATCTATGCCGTTTCAGTTTCATCAGAATGCCTGTGGTCTCCGTGCATGGCATGCATGTGGATTTCAGCGACAGCCGTTTGTGTGTTTGAATGTTTCAACTCCCTCTCAACGTAACTTTCCTGGGCTGTTTGCCACCAATCCTCCTGTTGCCAGGGGCCGAAAGAGGATGAGTCCTTTCATGTGGCGCTCGTTGCACAAGAAGTCGACAAACCTGCTGAGTTCCTCGCATTCCGCTCCAGCTGAAGTGGCTGGCGGGAGGGCGGACGGGACACCAAGGAGTGGGGAAGGACTTGCGGCAAAAAGGGCGAGACCACCCCAGGTGACACTGCTGCTTAAGTACTCCAATTACTCATTGAAACGTCTCCAGCAACAACTACGTGTCTCACACTCTGGTAGAACAAACCTTTCTTGTGGCATCTCCTTAATAATGCCTATAGAAATGGATATGCAAATGATTTAATGACTCTCATCGGCCACAAACGTTTATACGCTGAGGTAGTTGGGTGCGTAGGCTTTGGTGGTAAAAGTTTTCGCACTGACATTTGATATCAATATGATAGACCACAACACACAGACACACACACCACATATTTTGCATAGTTTGTTGATTAAATGTTGGAGAATCTATATTACTAGTATGGATACACCAACTCCTACTGTCTCATGACCATTCATGACATTTTAGTCATCAAAACTGTTAAATAAGACATATGGAAGGACTTAGTGAGCAAAAAAAATGGTTAAAAACGAAATTAAAATAATAAAATAAAGTCAAGTAAAAATTGGTAGCCTATTTTAGCTCCTTCAAAGTTTCAATCGTTTGTCTAGATTACAGATCACAAAATGCCAACCATCTCTGTTTCCATAGAAATGTAAGCTTTGAAAAAAAAATCAAGCATACACAAATTACACTAGCGTTTAAAAGTTTGGGGTCGGCAAGATTTTTTTTGAAGACATTAATACTTTTATTATTCAGGGACGCATTTTAAGGATGCATTAAATTGATCAAAAGTGAAATTTATAATGTTTATATATTTCAACTGTCTAATCATCAAACAATCCTAAAAGCAATACAACTGTTTTTAGCATTGCTAATAATAAGAAATGTTTCTTGAGCAGCAAATGAAGGATAATGTGACACTAAAGACTGGAGTAATGACAAAAAATAAATTACATTTTCATATATAAAAATGAAAAAAATATATTTCACAATTGTTCAGTTTTACTGCGTTTTTGATCGAATAAATGCAGCCATAAAGACCCCAAACTCTTAAATGGTAGCATATTTAAATAAAATTATATTGTTTTGAAGACTAAAATAGCTCTCCCACCACGACCATCAGCGCATATATGAAACCAAAATGTAGCTATGTCTTAGAGAATTATTTCATAAATTCTGCCCACAAAAACAGGACACCACAGACATCAGCTGCCTGGCCTATAAAACTGCACTATCCCTGCGCTGTGATTAGAGCTGCAAAACAGGAAATGACAAAAGACGAAGAGAGGCAGAAAAACACGATGAGAGTGATAGGCCGCTCCTGCTCTCCCTGTGCATTTCAACAAGCCTGTCCCTGAGTGACAGCCTGTGAAGTCCCGACCTGAGCGCTGATGCTATCGTATGACCCGGATCTTCAATGATGAGGACTAAACAACTGATGGTGGGCTGATATGAAAGTGGGTTAGAGTGTGATGCTTCACCAAAGCGACACTTCCCTTTGGTTGACAGAGAGCATTTCCTTTGGTGGAGCGCAAGACTTGCAGGCAACACAACAGCATGTCCTAGGTGGCCCAACCGCAGTGTTTGCTAGGCTGTCTTTACACGTCCCTCAGGACAGAACAGATCTGCTCAGTTTTTCCAGAACATGTTAGCTGTGGCCACAGAAACGGCACACATTAATACCCCACTACCGCCCATACATGTGTCTTCTATATAGCATGTGCAGTGTTGTGGTGGCCTGACCTGAGTGTGTGCGCAGATGTCCAGTCAGGGCGTCACGACGGCGACAAGCGTAGCTGCAGAACGGGCATTTGAAGGGCTTCTCTCCCGTGTGGAGTTTGATGTGCCTCAGCAGGTTGCCCTTCTGAGTGAATGAAACCCCACACTGGTTACACTGGAACGGCCGTTCACCTGATGGACAGAGTCACGAACAAGAGACATACTTATCACCGGTTTAGCTAATGTAAATAAGCATAAATACTGCAGTGACATTTGAATAGCAGCCTTGATATAAATGGAAAAAATGGTGTCAGATTTGTAAAATACATTTGCCTATCAGTCTATATAAAGGACTCATTTGTGCGATAACCTGAAATGTTTGTGGAAGTCTCAGTGTGGCCTCATATTTTTCGTATTATGTTGGACACTTCATGTACTCAACTGGACTGCTGATTGACAAAATAACCATGTAAAGGTCATACACTACACAGTTGAATATATAGTGCATTCCTTCTTATTTTATAAGTGCGTAGTGTATAGCGTGTCATTTGGTATCATGTAAACCTCCATCATTGACATTTTTTGCCATTTATGAGCACTAAGGATTGTCTTCATCTCATAAAATACCTTTCACAGCTATGAACAAGCCTCTTTGGTACAATTTGTTGATTGGGAACCTAATTGGATTAGTCATACATCAGAGTACCTGCTCTAAATTTAGCCTGTGACTCTAAAACACATTTGATGGACACAGAACCCCAGGTTGAGAGTTGGGGTGCTGCCGTGGCTTGATATGGTGAACGTTTTATCATTACGGGCAAACATGGAAAAGTGAAATATGATCCTTTACTGCTCGCATGTTGTCTGACACTATCAGCGTCAGCCCAGGGCTTGGGAACAGGTTATGGAGGATTCCTGGGATGCTTTCCCTGAGAATAACTCCTAGTCTTAACTATTGTTTTCTTATAGAACAGCTACGAGCTCCACACCCTTTTAACACTGAAAAAAGGAAGAACGCATGAGTGACAAGCCTTGGTCACGAAAGGGTTTTGTTATTTTAATGGGAAGTCATTGAAATGTTCTCTGTTGAAACTTACTTGAGATGTGTCACAATAAATGTAGGCAAATCATTTGAACTTTGAATTGCTGGGTTATGATGCTTCATGGGCATGACATGATTAAAATAAACGTTTAAAAAAATACACATAGCCTAAATGTATGTTTAACATATCTTATCTTTTAAACTTTCATTTTATTTAGGGTTCCTTTTCCATAATATTTTCTGTCTTGTTTTATGCAAATGTATGCTGATTCACAAGCAAGTTTTATTCTAGCTCAAGCTCAAGTTTTTCTCAAGCCCTCAGAAAGACCAATACATAGCTGATGACATTTTTAGACCAGAGAAAAACTAGAAGACATAGATTTTCTTTAGAAGGTCCCAAGACTTCTCCATGAGGTTTCCTAGACTATATCTTTAAAAATATATATAAAAAAAATGTATATATATATTTCCTTTTTTAAATCGTAATATTTACCATTATATTTACCATTTGGCAGTCTTATTCCCGTGTCATTCTGCACTTCTGTTCCTGGCCCAGCATCTTGTAAGTTGTTTGGACTGTCAATCATGTGCTCCTCCAATCCAGAACCTTCCTCACCGCTGTGGCCCGCCTCATCTGGACCACTGGGCCTTCTCTCCGTCTCCTCCTCTGTACCTTCCTCTTGTTTGATTGTGCGTGCTGTAAGAAAAAAAAAAACTCAAGCTTTCAAACAGAACGAAACACAAAAGCCAAACATCACCCACTGCACACTACAGTAGTTTCCATAGACATGATCAAGTACTGGTCAAAGACTCTTTTGAAGTCACTTGTTACTATGACAGCACACTGACCAAGAAATCTGTTCTCCAACATGAAAACAGCATTGGGATGTCAACAAACAGGAAAAAAAAAGGCAGATGCAGCTGTAGTCTCTAGAGAAGGGAGGCAAACTGTGGGCAGGTGGAGTTCTACATGACTGACAGTGGGAGACAGAGAAGAGGAGGCGGGCCAGTGCTTTGGTCTGGACTGTGCGGGTCTCTCCATTATCTCAGCGCGCAGGCTGTCGAGCACCTCCAGGGAGGCCACCCCCACACGCAGAGACACACAGAGCGTGACAAAAATAGACATGCAAAGGGACGCATAAACACAAAGCGACACGTAAACACGCGACAGCCCGGCCCGCAAGTTTTCCGTCTCAACCACGCACACGCTCCAGGTTTCACGACAGATGGAAAAAGAGCAGGCAGCTCTCTATGCCATCCGGACGAACCTGTTTGTAATTTTACAGTGAGTTTAATCTCTGGGCGAGAGCTTGAGACTAAGCTTTGACTCACCTCCGTCTTTCCCATCCGTACAGTATGAGTGTTGTCCCTTAGGCAAACCTCTCTGCTGTTTTGCTAGATTTGAGTCACAGTCTGAAATCATGACTAAAATCTCTCTGACCCCCCTTAAACAAAGCTTAGAGTTTGCAGACTATAAAACCAGCGCAATGTCACTCATAAACACTACTCGAATGGGACTAGTAAATGTGTATTACTTAATATTTTTGAAATTGTTTGTCTCCTCACACAATCTTCGTAAAAACTCTGAATCAAACTACCCACCGTTTTTGACTTATCCTAATTTATATTGACCTTTGAATATTGTAGCTATCGGTGCACTCCTTCGTGCACCCTCATTATGGATTTTGACCTTTTTGCCAACTTGTAGTTCTGGGTAAAAACAAGTTGAAAGTTGGCTTAAATCAAGTAAAGTCTGATCAGTCTGAGTGAGGTAACCTTCATTAATCCATACATTATTATATTCACATATAATATTGACATTCATACATGGATACCACTACCAGGGTTCCTAAAATTTGGCCATGTCCTGCAGAGCTTAGTTCAGACCCTGATCAAATTCACCTATCTGTAATTCTCTAGGAACTTTAAAGACCTTTATTAACTTATTCAGGTGTGTTTGAATAGGTTTGGAAATAACTCTGTAGGGCAGTGGACCTTTAGAACCGGATTTGAGGAACCCTGATTTGTAATACAGTGTATATATATATATATATATATAAAGGTAATAAAAAAAATCCTAATTAGAAGATCCCCTCTAAATAGTGCTATACATGTACAGAAACACAGATTAGCATAAGTATGTTACAGTTAAATTACATCTCTTTAAAAACATCCCATTTCGATTAAGAGATTGTTTACACACGGTGACATGCAGGTTCACAGAGCTTTTGAAATGTAAGTGCTGTGTGGCAGTGCCACAAGATAACCCTCACTTCACTCGCTGGCACTTCCAACTAAGTATTATGGGCGCACTTGCTTAATATTGCACAAGAGATCTTCACTTTCAAAGAAACACTTATGGCTCGCAAGAACAATCGCAAGCTTCGCCGATTACAAAATTGTACCCACAGAAAACACGGTGCAATCCTGTCAACACATCACAGTCGAACGGCATTACCTCAAAGAGTCGAGACGTACTGTATGTTTCTTCCTATTTCTCTGTCCGTTCTGTAATTCGTGACATCAGAAAACAGCCGCTTGCGGTTTAACTATCTATAGCATACACATCATGGAGTATCTATAATGGCTGCAGCTGAGTGAACTTGAAATGGTTGCCGAGACAACATACAGAATCCTGATCAAAGGAGATGAATGAGAACAAAACGCACTCAGTGCTGGGGATCCATAAACCCGAGTCATCGACTAGGCACAGAACAAAAGCAGAGTAAACCAACATAGTCGGATGCATAAACGACGTCCCGGTCTAACTCGAAGGTCTCTTTCTATTAAAATTTCACCTTTGCAAAATGTCTCACCCTTGAATATTAAATTATGGCTTGCACTGATGTCTTCTTTTGAATAAGTTCTTTACAGAATGATACAGTAGATACATGCAGATATGCATCTCTCCATCTCTGCATGCTTGTATAACTAAACTGTCTATGTGTAGGTTAGACTTCTCTTTACACAGTAACATGTTTCTCAACATCCTTTGCAACATGACCAATAAATTATCTAGAAAACCAATCTCCATCTGGGATCATGGTCTGTGCCTCCATCCTTTGGCGGCGAAAGCTTCCCTTTTCTCAGTGTGCACGCTCATGCTGACAACTGACAAGCCCTCCATCTTAACCAGTAGTTGATTTTGAGGAAGGGAGAGGTCAAAGAGTGGGCCTATCCCATCAGATCGTAGATAAAGCTGTAACTTCTTTTTTTATATATATATATACACTGCAAGATAAAGGTCCTTCCTCTGTCCCTTGCGAGCTGATGCTCACTAATTTCGCCTTTTTTAAATATATTGTGCATTGGAAAATGAGAGATTGTATTTCATATCCGCATGTTAGAGGGATAGTTCACCCAAAAATAACAAATCTATCGTCATTTACTCACCCTTCTTTCAAGCTTTAAAACTCTTTCAAGCTTAGAAAAGGAAACAAAAGCACAGTTAAATATTGTAAAATGTTGGAAAATTAGTAATACTGTAAATACGATGCTAATGTTCTGAAGCCATATGAAAGCTTTGTGTGAAAACAGATCAATTCATTATTATTAATCTAATCTTCCTCTCCAGTAAGATTGTTATGTGACAACTGTTGCTGTTGTTGCAATGTGATCATTTAGTCAGCAAGTTGTTTCAAATGGAAAAAAAAAGAACCAAATCAAGAGATTCATTTAAAACTCTGACTCAAAGAATGACTTGTAAACCAGACTTGGCACATTTGTATAGCGACTGAAATTTAGTTATTTTCATCATATGAGGATCATTTTGGAAGAATTTAGATAAATATCAATTCAAAATTGGGGAAGTGCTCCAAAAAAGGGGGAAAAACCAACACACTGTGTTATCTCCTGCCATAAAACTTTTATATATTAATAAATTGCAGTACATCGTTTTGACCAATCAAGGTCTTTGTCAGGCCTTAAGACTTTAGATACAGTTATATGATATGAACCACATTTATGACAATTTTATAGTGCTTTTGCATCCTTTTGAAGCTTGAAAGATCTAGGTATGAAAAAAACTGACCAGCACATTATTTGGTTAAACTTTTTTTTCGATAGTATACTTTAGACATCCTCCTTTTGGAACAAAAATATATGGGAATATATATGCTGCAAAATATAATGAGATATATTAGATGATAAATTTCCAAATATGGGAAACTAGGGCTTATATTTTTCAATATGCAATACATGCATTGAACATGTATGGCTGTATAGTTACATATAAAGTATTTAGAAATTATGAGAAAAATAGCATTACATACACACACATTCACAGAATGAGTAACACATGCATACAGTGTCCAGCATGCAGCATGCTGGGTTTTTGGGATTACCATTATGCTGAAGAGTAGAGCCTGTGGTTTGATTGACGATTGGCGAGCACCATTAAGACTGTAGCCTATGTTACTATATTTAAAAAGTTATAGCTTTGAACTCCTCAGCACAGAGGTAGTCTCTTTGCTTAATACTTTAGTACATGCAAGTGTGCTTGTGCTATTGTCAACTAGCTTGAACATATGAAACATTTATAATGTAAATAATTATCAAATTAAGAAATAAACTACATTGTACATCTCTCTATATAAGCTTTATTTGTTTATACAGAATGAGTAAATATATGTTCAAAATATTTATGCATATGCAGTACTATATCTTATCACATGTATATCTATATATTATAAAGTGTATTACTGAATATAGAATTACATTTTTCAATATAAGAAAAGTGTCTTATATGTACAGTATTATTCCATATATTTTATTTAATTAACACAATATATTATTCTGTATATTTTTAAATATACCGTTAGATAATTTAATATATTGATAATTCATATATCCGTCATGAGGGTCTACTATAAGAAACTTTGCAACTACTTGTCAACTAACTCTAATTATTTTGCAACTACATGTCAACTACCTCTTATTAGACCAAAGTATTAGTAGACTGTTAGGTTAGGGTTACGTCATAAGTTGAAATGTACTTGCAAAGTTACTTATAGCCAGTAGAATATCTGTTGGAGAACCATCAAAATAAAGTGCAATCAGATATTAAGCAGACAGTCTACTAATACTCTACTGACTGGAAATTTACATGTATTTGTGAAGGGTTTTGATTATATTACGGAATTCTAATGCATTTCTATGCTAATTATAATACAAACCCGATTCCAAAAAAGTTGGGACACTGTACAAATTTTGAGTAAAAAAAGAATGGAATAATTTAGAAATCTCATAAACTTATATTTTATTCACAATAGAATATAAATTACATATCAAATGTTGAAAGTGAGACATTTTGAATTGCCATGCCAAATATTGGCTCATTTTGGATTTCATGAGAGCTACAAATTCCAAAAAAGTTGGGACAGGTAGCAATAAGAGGCCAGAAAAGTTAAATGTACATATAAGGAACAGCTGGAGGACCAATTTGCAACTTATTAGGTCAATTGGCAACATGATTGGGTATAAAAAGAGCCTCTCAGAGTGGCAGTGTCTCTCAGAAGTCAAGATGGGCAGAGGATCACCAATTCCCCCAATGCTGAGGCAAAAAATAGTGGAGCAATATCAGAAAGGAGTTTCTCAGAGAAAAATTGCAAAGAGTTTGAAGTTATCATCATCAACAGTGCATAATATCATCCAAAGATTCAGAGAATCTGGAACAATCTCTGTGCATAAGGGTCAAGGCCGGAAAACCATACTGAATGCCCGTGATCTTCGGGCCCTTAGACGGCACTGCATCACACACAGGAATGCTACTGTAATGGAAATCACAACATGGGCTCAAGAATACTTCCAGAAAACATTGTCAGTGAACACAATCCACCGTGCCATTCACCGTTGCCGGCTAAAACTCTATAGGTCAAAAAAGAAGCCATATCTAAACGGGAACCAGAAGCGCAGGCGTTTTCTCTGGGCCAAGGGTCATTTAAAGTGGACTCTAGCAAAGTGGAAAACTGTTCTGTGGTCAGACGAATCAAAATTTGAAGTTCTTTTTTGGAAAACTGGGACGCCATGTCATCCGGACTAAAGAGGACAAGGACAACCCAAGTTGTTATCAGCGCTCAGTTCAGAAGCCTGCATCTCTGATGGTATGGGGTTGCATGAGTGCGTGTGGCATGGGCAGCTTACACATCTGGAAAGGCACCATCAATGCTGAAAGGTATATCCAAGTTCTAGAACAACATATGCTCCCATCCAGACATCGTCTCTTTCAGGTAAGACCTTGTATTTTCCAACAAGACAATGCCAAACCACATACTGCATCAATTACAACATCATGGCTGCGTAGAAGAAGGATCCGGGTACTGAAATGGCCAGCCTGCAGTCCAGATCTTTCACCCATAGAAAACATTTGGCGCATCATAAAGAGGAAGATGCAACAGAGAAGACCTAAGACAGTTGAGCAGCTAGAAGCCTTTATTAGACAAGAATGGGACAACATTCCTATTCCTAAACTTGAGCAACTTGCCTCCTCAGTCCCCAGACGTTTGCAGACTGTTATTAAAAGAAGAGGGGATGCCACACAGTGGTAAAAATGGCCTTGTCCCAACTTTTTTGAGATGTGTTGATGCCATGAAATTTAAAATCAACTTATTTTTCCCTTAAAATTATGGATTTTCTCAGTTTAAACATTTGATATGTCATCTATGTTGTATTCTAAATATAATATTGAAATTTGAAACTTCCACATCATTGCATTCTGTTTTTATTCACAATTTGTACAGTGTCCCAACTTTTATGGAATTGGGTTTGTACATATATTCAAACACGGATTCAATGTTAATCATCGGATAATTTTATATACATTTTATAGCCAGCAGAATATCTGTTGGAGGACCATAAAATTAAAGTGTGCAGATATTAAGCAGAAAGTCTAGTTTTAAGAATTCTAAGAATGAAATAAATGCAGGGTTGGAACAATATGAGGGTGAGTACATGATGATAGAAATTTCATTGTTGGCTGAATTATCCCTTTAAGCTGATCAATGATGCACCACATCTAAGAAAGTCAAATGGGAACAGGCATTAAGGGGAGTGGCCTTGATAGAAGACATGCCTACTTACCAGCAGGGGAATCAGGACTTTTGGAACGCTGGCCATTGGGTGTGCTGGTCGACAGGTCCACCAGCATTCTCGAGTTCTCCTTCCTGGGAGAGCAGTCGCCATTACCTAGGAGACAGAAACAAGTGCACTGAAGACATTGCCGTCATGCTCGAGACAGCACAGCTATTGTGGCTAAATGCAGCTCTTACCTCAGATCTATACGAGCAGACAGTTCAAGGACCAACTCTCTTATTAAAGCCATGCTTTTTGATTATCACTCAAAGATAAAAACATAGAATAAAGGATAACTGTAAGAAAAAGATTCATTTCATACTTTCAACTGTGCTCTACTATTTAATGTTTTCTACTGAATAGTTCATTACACCTTTTTACTGCAATCTACTGTTTTAAAACCGCTGTTTAAGAGGTTTGAGATGCTGATTGGTTAAAACAGTGAGCCTTCTTATTAATTAATACTCTTTTCATGTTTTAAAATCAAATATACTCCTCCCTGCAATGTAATAATATGTTTTGTCAGGTATGCAAACAAATGTATTAAAAAAATATTATGTATATCTACTGTATATTTACATTCTATAATATTTACACACGGACACACTCAGTATATATATATATATATATATATATATATATATATATATATATATAGTAAACGATTAAAATATTTAATCGTGATTAATCGCATTAATGTCATAGTTAACTCACGATTAATCGCACATTTTTATTTATTCTAAATGTCTCTTGATTTTGTTTTTGTCCCATTATTTTTTTCTCATTTTAATGCTCTTATCAACACGGAAAACTGGATCGGCTTGCTTTGTGCAAATTTTTTATTGAAAACAACATTGGCATATACTGTGCTCAATTTCACACTAATGTTCTCACTTAGGGCAAATAATCTCTCACACAAATGTAACACTGTCCATCAATAAAAGGGTGAAAGAAATACTGACGAGGTCCTGATATTGACGAGGGGGCGGAGAATTCGCATCAGCTGTGTGAATGTGTGTGTGTTTGGTAATCATCAAGTGGTATTTCAGACTGGACGTGCTGTGATTATGATAGCTCAGTTCACAACGACAAAACACACAAATCACTTTGGTCTTGTCAGTGGGACCATTTGGTAACTTTTTAAAAGTAAACTTTCCATTCAGAATCTTAATGGCATCCATTTCAGCATCTCGCGCTCGTCATCCACTCAAAACGTAACGTTAACCAACTATTTGGCCGGCTCGCAAGCCCAAACAAGTGTGTGCGGCGTGCCTGTTGGCCGCGCATGCCACGCCCTGTAGCAAAAGCATGTGAAAAAAACTACGTGATAAAAAACTGACGTTGTTAAAATGGGTCTGCGTTAAAGCCATTAATAAAGCCCTTATATATATATATATATATATATATGAAGAGTTCAGATGCAAAAGCCTCTAAGTGCCATTTGAAATTTTCTTCTAAAATGATCATTTTTATCAAGCTTGTATATTTAAGTTCAGTAATTTCACTTAAATGGCAATGAAGATTACCTATTAATTGCCATTTAAGTGAAATTACTGAACTTAAATATACAAGCTTGATAAAATTGACCATTCTAGAAGAAAATTTAAAATGGCATTTAGAGGCTTTTGCATCTGAACTCTTCATATATATATATACACACACACACGCATAAATTAAACAAATATCTGTATTTGTCTCAGAATATTATTTAACAATTAAAATAATATGTATATAATAAAATGACAGAATTAATCTGAATGGTTAGATTACACAACAACTGCTTGTATTCACTTTGCACAGTACTGAACCCTACTGTTGTCCATTTAAAACATGCCTCTATAATAGTTGCTGATGCCTTGGTAAAGGAGAGCAACATATCCCATGGTTTTCAGGTACTGTACACACACTGCTTTTAATACCACCCCGTCTCTGTTACCAGAGCTGAAATTTCTCTAGGGTCAATGATCATCTCAACACTTCAGTTTACAGAGACTGTGAGCCATCAACTCATTTGTGGTGAGGTTGTTAAGCTTTCAGCCACATCCTTAAGATTCAGATTGGATTTCCTCATCTCTCCGCGCACTGGCTTTGGGAAATAATATGGCTTCACTCTGGGGGAGCGATTCCTGCTCCCTGATCCCGTTACCCACTGACCCCTTCAGAGCCAAACACTCAATACAACGGCAACGACATTAGACAGCTCTTAATGCTTGCATTATGCATACACACAACCTCCAAGGGCAGTATTACGGCTTAGATCATTCCTTGAACTCCACGTTTATGACTGGAAAGTACCTTGGATGTCACCGTTGAGACGCTGTTCCATCTCTAACCAATCCACTAAATCTACTCAGTCCCTCCTTTAAACAGGTTTGTTAGGTAGCAGAGTGAGTCTGCCAAAGGGCTCCAAAACAGTATTCATGGCATTTTTAATGATTCATTTGTCTGTGTTCTTCTTGTGAATCAACAGGTCCTTGTTCAATGTACTATACTACAACAAACACCACCCTTCATAAACTACAGTAGAAAGGTTTTAAAAAGATTCATTAAAACATTACATTTGTGATGAATCAGTAAATGAGGGCCTTTGAGGCGACAGACATCTGTGCTGTCAAGCTGGCAGACAGACACTGTCATTCTGACAGGGAGAGCAACTCAGGGAGACGAAGCCAATGACACAATCCCAAAGCCCGTCTCCTGTTACGGTGCCGGGGTTGAGGGAAATCTCAGGTAACCGGCAGTCCCTTGGCAACGGGAAATAAGCAGCCACTTCGATTTGAGTGACGGCCGAGGGGAGGATTTTCCATAACAGAGTGCTGTGTCTGATGGCCTCCCGGCATGAGAGAGGTTCTCAGGAAAAAAGATCTGTGAGAGCAAACTAAACTCTTGTACAGTAGCGGCTGAAAGAGCTCTCTTATCCCACGTCTAAACAGAACCGCGATACATATATATCTAATGCCAGCCGCATACAACAGGACTTGTCAGCACATTTAAAGACTCGCAGCTTGACTTAAAAAGTCAATTAGATGTTTCTCTTCCGCATGTATACACACACACACACTCCTGTTAAAAAGTTTAGGGTAAGATGTTTTTTTATGTTTTTAAAAGAAGTCTCATGTTCACAAATGTTGCTTTTACTTGATAAAAAATAAATAGCACATATATTTTTATGTGAATATATTTTTAAATGTAATGTATCTTTGTCTGATGACAAAGCTGAATTTTCATTAATTCATTACTCCAGTCTTCAGTGTCACATGATCCTTCAGAAATCATTCTAATATGCTGAATTGCTGCTAAAGAATATGTGCTCTGTTGAAAATGTTGTGGGAACCGTAATACATTTATTTTTGGATTCTGGAAAATTCAAAATAACACTATTGCCATTTATAAAGAAATGTATATAGTATTTTTATATTATAAATAGTATAATAGATTGTTACACTATACATGTCTTCACTGTCACTTTTAATCAATTTAGCACATCCTTGCTGAATAAAAATATTAAATTAATTAAAAAAACAAAATAACAAAATAAAACAACCCTAAAATATTATAAATTACGCAAAAATGTGTTCTATTTTCTATTCGTTTCCTTTATAGGTCTTTCTTCCCAACTATGAAGTCTTGCAGTGTGCACTTGGCATTGTTATCGATTGAAGAATCTCTGACGCACTTTAATATGTGGCTTTCTCAGTTTTAGAATGATTCCACGTTGTTTAATTTGTTCTATAAATCACATTGAAATTCCCACACATATGATTGTTGATGGCCCTAGAGCTCTATTGTAATAACGGCCTACAGCATACAGTTTATATTAATAAGGCTACCATCTGCCCCCATGCAGTGATGCATGCTGAAAATCCGTAGGCCCATTGGAGACTACTGGAGTGACTACAGGTCTGGCCTGTGACAGTGCTGAGTCAGAATCAGATCCCGATTCACTCATTCGCTGAGACTGTGTATACAAATCAAACAGCAGCCTACAGAATGGACTGTTCCATTCACTTTTTTAGTGGATCAATGAGGAAACTAATTGGGGGTGTTTTTAATAGTGGCCCACGGGTTAAAATCAACCTAAATGACTTCTGTAATATGTTTTCAGAGCAAAATGGGATATTCAATGAGGGGGGGAAATGACTTTTATTCATGAGGTATTGATTGAATCACAAAAAGTGGATGTTAAATATGGAAAAAAAAAAGTTATAAAATTTGTATTTGATTTTTTTGAATAATTATTGAAGTAACATTGGTCAATCTGGATTTCATGTTGACTGTGCCCAAATCACTTCAGCGCTCTATAAGTCAAACACAGTGATTCCACAAAGGTTTCCGTCGGCTGTATTACATTAGTGGGGGTGGAGCCTGAAGACAGGTTCTGTGCCAGAGTGGCGATACTAGACAAGAAAAAGTTTTTAACAGGATCGGTTCTCCCAGGAAAGAGAGTGATTGGTTGTGGCATGTTCGAGTGTGTAAAGTTCGAGCGTGGATCAGGTTTATCCTGTCCGTCCACACACCTCCAAGCCATCCTTCCACATCAAACACAAAACACATTCCCACTCACGCTCCTTGCCACCTGCCACCGTTGAACTGCTCTTTAAAAGGGGGACGAAATCTTTTTAGCATATCAATAGCAGTTTACTGTACAAAAGGTTGAAGTAGCCTGTGATATGAGATGGACAAACGCAAAACTGTCTTTTTATGAAAGCAAGCTGTTTGACTATACCTAGTTTTTAGGGAAACTATCAAGTGGTTTTAAACCAGAAAAGAATAAACCTGAAGAAAAAAGCTAAATATTGCCGTGAAGACATTTTGACGCATCTATGCACATCTTCAAGCCATTAACAACTTCATTATCTTGAACTATAAAGAGTTATGTTTTCTGAAACGTGATAAAGCTAGTCAAAAACCAGGTGTTGTTCGACATTCATACATGCTTTTAAAATATAACGAGCCCTTTAAGAAAGGAAAAATGCCTTTGAGAGTCTATGGAACCAAGTTAAACTGTAAACTTTTCATTTTCCAAGACACCTGCAAGAATTTTTAGATGAGGGACGTTTTATCAGCATGTTCCATCTGAGGGAATCTGCCGGGGGAGTTAACGGGCTTGAAGGTACCACTGTGCACCTGGTACTGAAGCCCTGTCCAGATAACAAATCTCGAGGGGAGCCAAGAGTCGATGCTTTTCAACTGGATCTTGGGGCCAGCGAGTGTGCTTGACTACTGCACATATTCATAAAGCAGAACTGGTCCTAAAAGCTGTAGACAAACTCCCACAGTGCTCTAAGAATTAGATAGCATATCTGAAAAAAATAAAAAAAAAAAATAAAAAAAAAATATATATATATATATTATTTTTATTTTTTTATTTTTTTTACAATGGAAAAGCAATAGATAAGCTTTTTTGACCAGGTCTTCCAAATTGATTTACAGAAAGAATTCCTTTATAAACCTTGGTCCAAATATGTGTCGCTCATTTTAAGAAGTCAGGGGAAAAAAGACAATAATCAATAGGCTTGAGTCTAAACCCAATGAAGTGTGTGCCTTATACACACGCAGCATGTGAGAAACAGAGAAGCAGGTGACATGTTAATAACATTGTGATGACGGAACAGCTTGACTATTTTAGGTCTGTATGTGCTCTGATTGATACAGTAGAACTATTACTGTGCTAATATGATCTTATCTTGCATTGTTTCCATGCATTGCTTATCTTGCATTTATTTCCAATTAGCTTTTGTCTATTAGAACAGAATTGGAAAATTAACTTTAAATGCATTCAATAATTCACTATACAGGTTAAAAAACATTTTTGACATTAAAAATGCAATTTAAGATGCTTTTATGTGCTAAATAAAGGATGTTCTTGTATATTTTTTTTTGAAAGTGGCCATTAAAGTGTATGCAAATACTTGACTTACTCGCAATATAGCCATTCGACGCCTCCATGTCCATTTTCAGGGGGTAGAGCTGTGAAATAAAGAGTTATAAATTAGATGTAGGATTTTGCATTGTTCTATAATTTAAAAAAATGGTCATTTAACAAGCATTACTGGAACAGGTTTCTTTAAATATTTGCAGTATTTTTTTTTTAGTCTTTAAAACTGATTAACCACGGTATTATATAATAATGTTCTGTTTTTCCTCCAAATTATGCAACACCTTAAGTACATTCACTAGACGTTCAATGTCGACAGTTCATTTGTAATACATTTTTCATTTCAAAGACATATCTGGCACATAAACGAACTGCCGTGAAAAAAAGAGACACTAATGTACGATTTCTCAATGTTAAGCTTTTATCTTACAGTTTTTTAGCTCTACTGCACTGAATCCAACTGTCTGTATCACAGTCATACAATCTTCAAAAATAAAAAAATGTTTTTTATGAAACATCTAAATTGTCTTCTGAAGTATTAGGGAAGTAACATATAAAGTGACAACTTCCTGGTTAGTCAAAAAAAGATACATGCAAAGCGTGAAAATTGACATGTTTTCATAGAGTTTCAGGTCCTTCTGAAACAAGTCTAAAATTAAAAGTTTGGACAGAGCAAAGTGAGCTGTAAAAATCAACGACGCTTATTCTGATGTACAGCATATCGTCCATCAGATCGTATGAAAGCTGGCCTTATCGCTGGATAGAAACATGGATACTGGTTCTATAAGCTTTACAGGTTTCCTTTAAACTAAAATAAATCTAAGGCTTATTTTAGAGCACAATCAGATGGAATCATCAATTTCACACAGAAAAACAAGCAAAGCATTAATATGCTTTTACTGGTTTAATATTCCATAACGGACTGGGAGGGATGTCATTTTCACTTGTGATGACAAAAAATAGCAATTCCGTGACGTTTTCGAAATACCACAAACAAGAGCTACTGTATTGTTTATGTTTCACCGGACGGAAAGCGCAAAAATATATTATCTTGGCTTAGTCACAAATTATCCTTATAGAACCTCATTTATGACAGAGCTTAGGGCATCTATAAACACTGGGTCAGGTTTTTATTTTATTTATTTTATTTTTTTTCTATTTCAACTTTAAAATGTTTAATTGCTAGGGTTTTATGAGTATTTCTAAACCCATTAAGTAAATACCACGTAAACCAATTAAGCAGCTTAATAAATAAACGCTCTTATGCTTTAATAAATCGCAGATGCTAAATGCACTTAAAGTAATATAAACATTTGTTTTATCTCTCTACTCTTCCATATCGCTATAAGGCAATGCACGGTCCTTTAAACATTCATAATGTGCACACATACAGTGCATTAAACAATAATAAATCAGTAAAATATCAAGTTAACTTTTAAGTCCTTATCAAATCAGGAACTACACAATATCACGAACCATCTTTCCTGATATCCCATTAATTATGAGCAGTGCACCTGGATACTCTGACCCTGATCAAAGTTTCTGAAATAAACAAGACACAAATTACAGCTCCTTGATATGGAAATACAACCAAATGATATCTCAAATTAAAAAGCACTAGGAGTGAAGTTGTCCCTATGTATGGTGTATCGCGCTGCGCTTCTCCAGGGGACCTAACACACACTGATCACGGCACGCGTGTGCATAACCTTAACCATCCAGCCCTACAACAAAACACTATCGTCCCGGATCAATTCCTGAATATCAGTAGACTACTTTGATCTAATTAAACCCCTTTGAGATGCAATGGATGTTACATGCATTATAGAGGTCAATGATGAATAAGGATTTAAAAAAGAGAACTGTTAAAAATCAAATGCAAAACACATGTAACATATCCTTAGAAATGTAATCATTGGGTTCATGTTTAGAGTGGGGGGGGGGGGGACCATTTAAACAGGAAAACAAAAATGTGGTGTGTGTGTGGTGTAACCCTCATGTAAAAAAAAAACAAGTTTTCAAGTACCTACACCATATGATCATAATCTGGTTATTTAAACACATTGTCAAGTTAACATTTAAAAATTATTTTTAAATTATTCTTGATTGAGGAATATCAAAAAGGTGTTCTTAGTGTAACTCTATTTGAAAAATATTTGAATAAAAAAAGTCAGAATACATGAAAATCATGACAGTAATGAGGGTCTACAGGGGTCTCTGTTTTATGATTGTCACATGAAAACAAAATGGCGTCTTGCATGCTTATGCCAAACTGACTTAATTATTTTTAAAATATTAATAATATTTAAAAAAATACCAATAATGTCTCAAAATTGATTTAATTTTTTTAATAGATTGTATGAACCTAATTCCACCAACATTTTCAATAACATTAACCTTAATTACTTCCTTGGCTCTACATATTTACAATATTCGGACAGTTACAATGTCTTCTCTCTCTTTTTTTTTTTTTACTTTAAGCCTCACAATTATATACATCTATAACTTGTTCAACATTTCTTGAGTTATCCTCTATGATATATATATATATATATATATATATATATATAAGAAATGTTGAACAAGTTATTAGATTCTGACAAAAATAGCATCACAATAAACGGATGTTAATGATATTACTGTATTTGGGCTATGTCACTTGAGGTATCAGCTTTAATACATAATGTCAGCATTATAATCTACAAAAAAAAGTCTTTCTGGACTTTAATTGAACTACAAGACTCTACGAGATGTTAACCATTAAAGATGATTGCATTGAAACTTTTACCTTTTTGTTTGGTCTCCCCCCTGTGAAAACGCAAGTAAGTCTCCAAAGAAATCCTTGCGCAAAAAAAAAAAGAAAAAGAAACGCGTGAAATTATTTCCAATGACAGAGGCTTTTCAGAGTCTAATGTGATGATGAAGAAGTCCTCTGATGACTGTCATGTTCAACTGGAGTTCATATTGGTCACAAACAGGGGACGATCTTGCCCCAAATGAAAAAAAAAAAGAAGAAAAAAAAAAAAAAAACTTAGGAAGCAAGCTGCTTCTTGGGTTTCTATCGTTTGGTGACTTCCTTTGCGCCGAACAAGCCCGTCAGCTTTTCCATTTCACACGCGTCTACGCGCTTTCCCCCCGACTATTAGATTTCTTCCTCTGATCTGAAACTGCTTTGACATAGTGAAGTGAAACCTGTGCCTGTTCAACACCTGGGTCAATCGATGTCAGGCTGGGGCGAATACTCAACTGGATCCACCGGTTCCAAGGGAATTAAGCCATAAATAAGGAAATGATGGGAACTGCCTACAAACAGGCTTAGAGCCCAATAATTCCACCTGTCTGACAGTCCATCAAAGGTTGTGGGATGAGTGTGTGCGTGTTTTCTTTATGCTTCATGTGCAGCTCAGTATTCATGTGACACATACGCCGACAGTATTCACATGCATTTAAATGCTCTTTGCAGACGCGTCATTGAATTCTCGCAATATAGGCTGTACGCACATTTAGAAAAACGATTCATATTGATGGCGAATGGCAAGGCTGGGAGGGAGTCTTAAAAGTATATCCGTGTTTTCACACAAGTAGGCAATAAAATGAATTTTCAAACGTTTTTTTTTTAAACATGGATTAAACGTTAGGGTGTTGCTTTTGCCTGAGGAACTGTCTATTGCTAACAAAACATTCGTAGGCCTGCTGGCGTAATTTATTTCAAGTTAATACAGATTTAACCATACCACATAAATCACAAAAAAAATATATAGGCCTAGTGATGTTTAAAACGTCTTTAAAATATAAAAGTTTAAGATTAGTAATGCACGCGCTAGGGGCGCCAAAACAATCTCACCTGATTGCGCCCTTCAGACATTTTATAAAATCAAAAGTTGATTCCTTTTCAATTCCTTTACTAAATGGCACACTGTTAGGGGAAAATAATTTTACAATCACAAAAAGTGGCCAAGGCCATTGTACTAATTATTCAAGTGATATATATAATGACAGTAGACTATGTTTTATGCGAGGAAGCAGACACCTGTTGCTATGGTAACCTTAAATTATGCTCGCGAACGATCCGTTTAGCACACTCGGACTAACTTGTAATATAACTTTATTAGTTACTGAAACATTGTTCGAAAACGCTGACGAAAAGCAAGAACACTTACATATAACAAAACTTTGAGACCCACGCCTTCTTTGACCTGTTTTTAGGGGTAGGTGGGGTCAAACTCCCCCATAATTCGCACCCTGACCCAGACGCTTCCTGGACCTGTCAAAACACAGAACATACAGATGCATAAAGCCTTGAAACAAACAAAGGAAACCCTTAACATTCGAAACGGACATTTTAGCTTACCTTTAGCGATGTACGAAGTGACACACTTCCATCTCATCTGATATGGAGTTACAGACAGCGTCTAAATACTGTGTATCCACTGCAGTGCGATAGACACGCAGCAATAGTGATTCCCTTCGCCTGCTTCCTCCATCTTCAGCGACCGTCTGACTCAGAGAAACCGATCTATCAGTGCCGCTCGGTAATCGATTAACGTTAGACGCATTATCACTGCATTTAAAATGCGTTTGGCGTGATCTCCAGCAGGCTGTAGTAGCCTATCTAGGCTATAAGAACACAGGGAGGAGAAACTTAAATTCAAGCTGCTAATTCCAAACCCTGTGCATGGCGTTTTATAATACATTCACATCATGTTTACTGATTAATATAATATATTTATTAGTACTATAAGCTCTTGTTACGAATATATTTATTATGATTTTAGTAATGACCGCTGTTGTGCTGCAGTCCTTATACATCCATGATTGCCTATCATAACGTTTTCGTTTCGTTATTAAATATATATATATATTTATATTTTCAGTCACATTTATAATGTGGAGGAAGAAAGAGAGAATGAATCAATTATAATAGGCAAAAAATATTTATATATATATTTAAATAAATAAATAAATAAATAAATAAAAGATTCAGGGTTAGCTTCAGTCATTTTCTCTTGGACCCCCTCTACTGGTCGACGAGAGAAATACACCACTGACCTAGTTGGAATCCTGTCAGAACTGTGGAGAGCTGGTGATGTCAGTGAAACAAAAGTCCTTTTTGCAAACATTTATTAAAATTCATCTTATTACAGTATTACATTATGTCCTGCTGCTATAGACTACATATCAGATACAATGCAATGTTAAGTCAAAACAAATGTTAATATTTATAAAAATAAATAAATAAATAAAAACTGTGACTATCTACAATCAGAGAAACCAGGCACCAATGATCTTGACATTTGTTTATCATCCTTGGAGACTGAATAAGCTGTCATTAGGGTCTGAATAAAAATAAGTGTTACTGAGATGTTACACTGAGATGAATGAGGAACTGAAGCAGGTCATGTTAGTCATGAAAGGTTGTGCATTTCCATTTTTTTCATTGTTTCTTTTACAGTAAATTGAAGATGCGGATATTAAAATGTATTACTGTAAGTGAGGTGTTTTAAGAAGGTTACACAAAAAAACAGGATAACAGCTTTTCAATTTCACTAAGCACTCTTTCATTGACTATTAGATTGTGAACTGAAACCTGCATGTTCAACACCTTGGATACATCTAAAATGTTTACTTTAACAAAGGTTTAAAATAGTTTAAAAAATGGTGTGCTATTGTTATTGTGTTTTGTACACACACACACACACACACACACACACACACACACACACACACACATATATATATATATATATATATATATATATATATATATATATATATATATATACACACAGTGCTGGGTAATAACTGATTAAATGTATTTGGATTAAGTAGTCAAACAGATTACAGTTACTTTTTTTTGCTGATTACATGATTAAATGTTAATTCAAATATTCATAATTTTTTGATTTTCCCTAATTCTTCTTTGTCATTTTCTTTTCTAAAAAGGATATTATTGAACATATATATATATATATATATATATATATATATATATATATATATATATATATATATACTGTATATAGTTCCTTCACAAACCCCACTTTGCGAAGCCCTGTAATGTTTAATGTACTTCATGTTGTTGATAACAAATAATAGAATATATTTTCTTTCTCATTGTATTCTAAAAGTAGTCAGATTATATTACCAAAAAACATGTAATGTAATGGATCGCATGTAATTTGGAATAAGTACTGTAATGGACTGTAAAAAAATATTGTTGGTTTAACTTAAAAAATGAAGTAACCTGGTTGCCTTAAACTTTTAAGTTCGTTGAAATGGAAAAATTGAGTTAATACAATGAAGTTATCTGAACTACATAAATTATTTAAGTTGATTTGACAAAAGAAAAAATGTTGTGATTACAAATCATGAAAATATTTTTATATATGACAAAAATTGTAGTTAATAACCTTATCCATTACACGTTTAATCGATAATTTGAAAAATGAACAATTTATGTATTATTTATTTATAAAAGTGATCTTGTTGAAAATAAACTAAAGATGCTTTTCTTTGAACAATGTACTGTAATAAGGTCACCGTTTGCATGTCCAACTGTGTTCTTTGAGGCTGCATTGTTTGTTTACTCTGCCATCAACTCTCTGATTTGTAGAAGTATCCTCAGATAACAATCAGTTGCTTTTGTTCAGAGGCTGCTGGTTAACTTTCCATGGTTTAAAAGAGCACTGTTTGAAGTAGAGGGGAAACCGTTAGACACCCCCCTCCTCTGCCACCCTCTCCCCTATCTTTCTTTTATTTATTTTTACATTACTGTCTACTTTCCTCCCGTCTTTAAGGTTTCAACCATCTATGAATTACCTCATTCATTCTGTAATGGTTTCCACAGTCCTTGCATGATCTTATTTAGTGCCAGTAAATGGACAGTCTCCCAGATGTAGATTTAAGCCCACAGTCCTAAACAAGGATTCTCAGATGAGTGCACTGTAAAAAAAACATCATTTTTTCTTTTGTCAAATCAACTTAGATAATTTATGTAGTTCAGATAACATAATATTTTGAGTTTCTGATGATTAAATCAATCTCCTTTATTGTATTAACTCAATTTTTCCATTTCATTTTCCAACTTAAAATTAAGGCAACCAGGTTACTTATTTATTTATTTAAGTTAAACCAACAATATTTTTTTTTTACAGTGTGCATGTCAGCATAATTTCATTTCAGTAAACAGATTAGGCTATAACTGGACATAAATTCCTCAGTAAATGACTCAAATTTAAGTAAAATTACTATAAATTCAACTAATTTGATTTATGGCTCACCATGGTCATGATGGATTTTGACAAATCATTTAGTTACACATAAAAAATTCAACAACATTGTTGTCAGAAACAAGTTAACTTTAACTTGTAAAGTTAAACAATGGACACTGAAGCCAGAAAACACACCAGTCATCTAATAAAACATAAAAAAGAATATAAGTAAAATAAATAAATTAACTTTGCAATATGAAAACGAGATTCAAACGGATTTGATGGATGACATGAAATACACTCATTCAGTAACAATACACACTGTACACTTTTGACAACTGAAAGCAAATCTGCTAACTGAAGCATGAAGTTCATTGTACATCCTGTGCTGGTTTAATCATGGGTGACCGGGTTCATCTAATGAATGTAAAGTGTTGTAATGTTCTGCAGAACCTCAAATAATGGCTTACAATTACATGGGCTGAATTTCCACCTTGGAAATTCAAGAAAACGCTTTTATTTTCATTTGGGTATATGGGGCTAAAATACCTCCATAAAGAAAACGTGCATGTTTTTGGTCCCAAAGTGTACTGAGATCCATATTAAGCATGACTTTTCTGAAAAGAAATTATGAAATAAGTTTGTTATGAATAAAAATATATTTTTGTGGTAGGGTCTGGGTGCTCAAATGCTTTCAATCATTCACCAATACCGGGAATTGTTTTTGATTTATTCACTGAAAACTAAAAATCATTAAGTGCGATGTCTGAATGAATATACTGTATATGTGAAAATTTCAGGGATTGTAATTTGCCACATAAATGTAGATCAAATGAACAAAAAAAATGAAATTTAGTTCTTTCTCAATGGATTATATTGTTTGCAAAAAGCAATAGCAGGCATTTAGGAAAATGCATGCTTATTAGTGTTTTTACTCAGCCATGCACACACACACACACGCGTTTTATAAGGACTTTAATGTCTTGTATAGTGTACAAATTGTATATTATACCCCCTAAACCCATACCCATCACATACTTTTAACATTTTCATTAAAAAAAAAAAACATTACTTAGTATGATAGTTTCTTCAAGGGACCAAAAAATCCTCCCACAAGGACAAAGGGTTGCAGATTTTGCCATCTTTGAGGAAACATTT